CTGAAAAGAGATGGTGCCTAAATCTTCACTAAAAAATTCCCTCCTTTAGTCACTGTGTCCTGGTTTTTATTCATCTCCAACATCGTCAAAGGAGCACTTTCTCCTGGCCAAGGAATGCAAATTTTTGCTTCTTTCATCCTTACAGGCATGGGCAAGGAACTGCAAAATTATTTGTTTTCCCCTTAAGAAATGAGAGGCATTTTGTGATACCCTCAACAGGGGAAGAGTTTTTGTGCAAAATAAGCCTCATTAAGCAAAATAAAGCTTTTAATGCAAAGAGCACTTCAAGATAGATCCTGAAACTTGGCACAAAATGATGATGCTTGTCGCTTTATATTGCATGGGTTTGAAACAATCATGGTGTGTGTGTGTGTGTGTGTGTGTGCACGCGCGCGCCCGCACGCGCATGTGTGCTTCCCTTCTCACAGAGAAAGGAAATCATTTTGTACTGAGAGCACATGCAAGTTATGGAGACCTATGAAGGCGGGGCAGGAGCACTCTGCATTATTCTCAGTGAGGCAAGGAATCTTGCAAGGATTGAAAATGACTCATCAAGGTATCTCAGTAGCTCAGGATCGCTTAAATCATCAAAAATAAACAATACTAAAGAATACAAAAACGGATTGGCTTTTTTGATGAAAATAGCCAATTTGTTAAATATCCGTTGCTTCATATTCATAGGTTCCAGAGACTCCACAAATATGAAGGGATGAATATTTACCCATTTTTATTCATCCTTCATATTAAAAAACAAAACCAAAAAACCCCACCATTCTGCCTACCGGCCCCCGATCAGCTGATCGGCAGCAGAAAGGCAGCTACTCCCCTCACAGCTACCCAAACACACAGCCTATCCTCCCACACCCTTCCTCTCCCTACCGTAGCCCTCCCCTACCTCCACCAACATCCCCTTACCTTAATCGAAGCTGCTGCAGTCTCTTGGCCTAGTCCGAACCACGGCAGGTAAAAAGGGAGACTGCCTGCCCTTTGCGAAGTTGGCAGCTGTGGCTTCATTTAGTGGAGGGAAGCTGCGGCTGCCATCTTTGCAAAGGGCAGCCTGCCTTGCGTGAGTGGACGGTCTGGTCCCAGGTGCTGAACTGTTGTTAGGTCCAGCTGCACGACAATATTCGTATACGAATATCCCCAGCTCTAGTTGCCAGCCCTAAGTTGGAGGCAATTTGATGTTATATAACAACAATAGTTCCAGATGCCTAACACAACAACAACAAATAAATCCCAAAACAGAACTGAAGTTTTCAAGGAAGGATAAAAGGAACAGGTCGACAGGCTGTGGTATTGGGTGGCTGGCTGTGGGAAGGGGTGGCTGCCTATCAGTCTCTGATCAGGTGATCAGCAGCCGGTAGGCAGAATGGCGAGTTTTTTGTTTTTGTTTTGTAATGTTGCTGAAGACAAACTTAATGCTTCATGCATGCCTCTCAGTGCCAAAGGGACCTCTCATTCTGCTGGGGCCAAAAACAACTCCCTCAATACCATGGGCTTCTGTGTCGTGTGGTAAACTCTCCATGGGGGACCCAATTTGCGGGTGAATAACTCGGATGTCCGATATCCAATCTTCACCAAAGTTGGCAGGTGTGTTGGGGAAAGAAATAGAAAGCTCTGTTGTGATTCTGGATTCTCTAAGTACCTTAGGGGAATTTTCCGGGGTGTGTGTGTTCCTCTTTGTGACTATATCTCAGCGGTCTGTGGTCCAACATTCACCAAACTTTCAGGAGTTATAGGAAAACGTCTGAGGAAGCTTCCCTGCACATATGGTGTCTCTAGGTGCTTAGGGGCCAGTTTTATAGCCATTTAAAGCAAAGATGAACCAACAAATTGGTTCATCAATTTGTTGAAGAATATTCACATATTTGTATTCACTGAGTTGTTAACCTTGATGAATCATGACTCAAAACAAATCACTTTTTTTATTTGTCCCCATCTCTAAACATCACAACTGCTGGACAGCTCAGTGGTTTAGGTACCCAGCTGTGGAGCTAGAGATTGGGCATTTGGTTCCCCACTGTGTCTCCTTGACTGGACTTGATGGTTCACAGGTCCCTTCCAGCTCTGAAGTTCTAAGATGATGATGATGATGATGATGATGATGATTAGTATTAGTATTAGTATTAGTATTATTATTAGTATCAGTATTATTATTAGTAGTAGTATTTAGTATACTTTTTCTACAGCCCTACTTTTGCTCCTGCTCCCCTTACAGGAATGTTTATTGGGGACACCGAAAGGGTCTTCCTTTCTGTAGAGCTCATTTCCAAAGGGCACCAGGCTGGCCCCCTCCCTTTTGTCCTTCCACTGGCAGGCAAGGACCTTTCTATTTTGAAGGGATATTGGAAACTGATTGGGTATTGAGAAAAGGGCTTTTAGCCAACTTGTGTTATGATTTTTTTTTAAAAAAGATGATAGACCACTTATTTCAGCACTTTTGTTTGCTTTTGTTGGTTTTGTTTTTCTTCTTTTCTTGGGATGATCTGACTTGTTCCCTATGTTGGGAAGGTTGGGGGCTCTATGGCTGGTTATAACATCATTCCAGTGGTAATGCGGAGAGGGAGGTATGGCGTTGGAGGGGGAAAGGTGTGTGTCACAGCAGAGCCCATCATCAATATGTTGCATTGATTCTGAGCTCTAGCTCTCTTTTGCCCCCCACCCCCACCCCTGCCAGCTGCAAAGGAGCCAGAGCAACTCAATTCCTTCCACTCTGATCCTTTTGTTGTTGACTGCTGGGTCAGTTCAGAATAAAACCCAACGGAACTATGCTCTGATTGTGGATGAAAGGGCTAACTTTGGGTGGACACCAGAGGGTAAGCATTGAGGGTGCGGTTGCCGTCTCTCAGATTTGCCCCTCCCCAGGATATTTCATCCAACATCAGGATAGACCAGAAGGCCGAGGAGGGGGTGTCACCGTTTTGTTCAAAACTTCAATCAAAGTGAGCAGAACTGCTGCCTTGGCCTGTGCAGGGTCAGAGTGCCTCCATCTGTCTGTGGGCCATAGGGAAAGAAGGGGGGATATTGCGGTCTCCCAGGGTTGTACTCCTGATGGACTTCAACATACATGCGGAGGTGGTAGCTGGTGATTTGGCCTCTGACTTCATGGGTGCTGTGACTTCCATGGGGCTGTCCCAAATTGTATGTGGCAGGTCATACATTCGACCTGATATTTCTAGCCAGGTGAGGTGAGGATGATCTTCCACCCTGTCATGGTCAGATCATTATCTGCTGAAACCTGGCCTTACAATGATGCCTTGGTTATGGACTGGACAAGGGCAAATAGGCTGAGGTTGAATCCTGACAAGACGGAAATCGTCGTGTTAGTTGGGGGCCCTGACTGTCTGGGGGGCCCTTCAATCTGCTCTATATGGGATTACATCCGCCCTAAAAGAGTGTGTTCATAATCTGGGTGTACTTTTGGATCTGGCCCTCTCGATGGAGAAACAGATCTTGACTATGACCAGGTCTGCCCTTTTCCATTTTAGGAAGGCGGTGGTGACAGCGTGGTGGTAGTGGTGGTGGTGCTACAGGAGCAGATAGCTCCCCACCCCACCCCAATTGAGCACAAACCAAAAACTGAACTGTGAAACAGTTTGGTTTTCCAGTTGGTTCCTGGTGCTTCCTGTTTTGTGGTTCATGGCTAACTAGGTGCCGCACCCACACTCCCGAAAGGGAAGCTGGTTGCTGCCTTCTGTGCATGTGCCTGTCTCCCAGCTGATTTATACACTGCCCCAGTTTGGGCAGTTTTCGGGTTAAAACTCAAAAACGCCACAGACTCCAATGCATATGATGACCAAAAAAAAAAAAAATCATCTAAAGAACAAAAGAAAACAAGGAAGAATGATATATTAATATTAACAACCTCTGGGAGATTCAGTTGTTGAAAGCAGCTTTGAATAATTCTGTTTTCAACAATATGCTGAGCCATATTTTAATACGATAATTTTTTATTTGTTTTTACTTGTACTTGTTTTTAATCTATTTTTACCTATCTCTGTTTTAATTTCCTGGTGTGCTATCTTGGGTCCCAGTTCTGAACAGAAGGCAAGATAGCTATCCAATCATATCAGCCATTCAGTGAAACAAAGTCTGGCCAGCCTCCTGAGTCACTTGCCGTAGGAGAGCTTGCTTCGTCTCATGCAGAGTTTTGCTTTATTTGCTATTTCACATCGATCAGGTTGCCTCTTTTTTATTCCAAGGAGCAGCTGCCTCAAAGAGAATTCATACCCTCTTCCTAGTGGAATCAGTCAAATGGTTCACCCAAAGGTTGTGACCCATCACGTTATAAGTTTACCTGTGGCAAGCATCTATAATGAATGGAGTCAGATCCTGACAAATACAATGAAATTGGTGTCCAGAAGCCTAGGACGGATCACTGTTTGTGGGCTGTGTGATCTCCCATGCATGCTAACAGACAGGAATTGCAGGTACTGCATGCAAGCTGCATATTCCGGACTTGCAAGAGGCGCTAATCAAAACTATGCTCTTAACTCCTGGAACTCCTCATTTAATCTCAATTGTTGTGTGGTGCTGGCTGTGGACATGCAAGAGTTAGGGAAAGCAGCTAGTACCTGCTCAAAGACCTTACTGTTTCTTACATGTCATAGGGGAACACCAAAAGCCCTGGTACTCTTTCGTTCAAGACTCATCCCCCCCCCGGCAAAAAAAGAGAGCAGTACATTGCCATTATTTGCAAATATGCAAACCAGCCTTTAAGCAACTTAATTTAATTTTGTTTACTAAGCTTGGGGAGAGAGAGAGAGGAAGAGACGGAGAGTGAATGCTTTGGTGAAAACTTGTTCTGAAATGTTTGCCATGTTGCCAATTTGGAGAGGCAAGAGTGAGATAGTCTGCTAAAGTGATTCCAGATGGGCCAATATTAATATCTTTCTCTTCCTGATGAATGAGAAGGTATGACCCAGATAGAAAGCTGCTAAAATTACAGGCGCCACAGAGGCTTCGGCGGGCGCCCTACCCCACGGATACTTTATCCTTACCTCGGCAACTGTGACTCTGATGAGACGCCCTAACCTGCTGCAGCAGACGGTCCAGAGCCTCAATTTGTCCCCTGTGCCTCGGCTCTCTGCCATCGTAGTCTTTCCAGTCTAGTGAATAAAAGAAATAAACAAAAATGAATACCGCAGCAGAGGAAAGAGAGTTGCTTAAGAGGGTTTCTTTGCTCCCAGTGTCTCTCAGTGGCTGGAGAAGTGGCTAATATGTCTTTTTTCAAGCATGTCCTTGATTCAAATACCACGGACATCCACCTCCCACACAAATGGCCACTGCTGTTCCTTGATCATCCTCACAACTACATTCATCTACATACTGTATGCAGGTAACAACCATCCTCTCTGAATGCCTTATGGTAGACTGCAACATTACACTTGCTTATACTGTATTTGCAATATAATAGTGGAGTCCCCACTTCTACCTTCTACTCAGCCAATAACTCAATGGGTTGCCCAGAACTGACTGAAGGTCGTTTTAGGGCAGAGTGGCCAATGCCACAACCCAAGGCATGTGTCAAAGGCCACCCAAGTTATTTTGATACATGAAGCAAAAAGAAAATTCTACATCCTTCCCCACCTTAGTAAAAATGCAGAATTTGCTGCCTTTCATGACACTCCAAATCTGCTGCCTGAGGCACTTGCCAGGGGCTGCTTAATATATAGAATGGTCCTAAGGTTGCATTAGATAAGCCTCTCTCTTTCTTTCTGCTGAAGCATATCTATAAACAGAGATAATAATGCCAGACTATTTGCATCTTATTATTACTGAGGTAATGTGGAAAAACACGGTTCTACTGGCCAATTTATATTCACAGAAAATAAGAGGTGTGTAGATCCGTTCAACTGCAGTCCAGCAATGCAAAGTATTTCCATTTCTAGATTCCACAAAAACATCTTAGAGAGTAACTAGATAACTATTTATGCCCCCTCCCTTTGTCATGCATGATCACGGTGCAATCCATTTTTCCGGGGACTACAGGACATGAAGCTAAAAGCAAAGCAGCCGCGGCCTTTTCCAAGTCTGTCCAGTCCCTTTTGGGTGAGCAGCAGGGGCTAGTATTTTGTGGAAGAGCAGGGACTGGATGGTTACTTATCGGTTTCAGCTGTGTCTGATCACCAATATCATTCTAAATTCAGCACTGTTTCAGTAAACCCTAATCTTCAGTAAGATTAACGGATTTCTGCTCTGTTCCATTTCCAGGGCACCGCTTAGGAAGGGCAGGGAAGGAGGATCATGGCCTCCCTGCATTTATTGTTCTCAGTGGCAATATGGGATGCACGAGGGGGAGCGAATGAGAGAGGTTAGGGCTGTCAAGGGAGGAGAGAGGAGGGGAGGGAAGGGGAGGAGAGAACTGCATATAGGCGCGGGCTCAGAACAAGCAGCTACTCAAAGCTACAAAAGGCTCCTTGCTGAGGGACAAAACTGCAATCAGGGGTTTGTCCCCAAACTACCTGGGAATGTATGTGAAGAGAAAGATTGATTTAAATTCCAGATCATACTCGGAATTAACTCTATTTAACTTCAACCCCATGCTTAACAGTTGCAGTCTTAGCTGAGAGGGGCCAGTGAGATGGTTTTCTGGGGATCAAACAGGACAAAGATGCCGAGCTGATAGAGTGTAATTTGTGCTGTGTCATGTAAGTCTCACAGCATCTTGCTCTAAGAGAGCAAGCGGGGGGGGGGGAATTCCTCTTTTCTCCTCACAGCCAGATTTCTATGCACACGTTTCCTCCCCTGAGAATTCTCTCACAAGTTCTCACTAGTTTCACAATTACCTTTTCTGAAAGTACTGTAATGGCAAGACACAGAAAATGGCTCAGAATGGGAAATTTTGCAAATATTCAGCCCCCCTCCCCAATAAGTGACATAACGCTGCCAGACCTCAAACCTGAGCAACCACTTTGCAAATGAAGCCCTCAGGTACATCCCAATGATCAATCACAAAACAAAAGGATGTGAATCCATAACACATTGTAGTAAGGAACGATCTAAGATAAACAGGCTTCTTTCAACTCTTAAGGGAGCTCTGCTTCTAACAACGGATTAACTGTGCCATCCTGTTTGACCCTGAGTGAATCCACTGGTGGCCATGGTATGTGACAACCTGTCATTGCTAGGAGGCGGTGACAGAGGGGCAACAGCCAGAATCATGGAAGCATTAATCCTGGGTGATCATCAGTTCAGGAGCTTTGTATTTGTTCAGTATTAGCTTTCCTTTTCCTTACACTGTCATCAGCCATAGCTGAACATGAAGAGTAAGAGGGAACTTTCCCCCTCTGTTGCCACACTAAGCTTATTATCTACTACCTCTCGTCATCTACAAACTTTGTAGTGATTGAACACATCCAACATTCCCTCTAAGCTGCATGGGTGTGCAGGTGCATTGTGCTGCACTGGTGTTGCACACCCGCAGTTAGTGCAGCTGCTCATTTGGTTCCAGTCATGGCTGTAACTTTGCACGTGCAGGGAGGGGTTTCCACTCAGTGCTGGAGGAAAATTAGAGGGAATGTTGAACATATCTAATTCTAGCCATGGGTGCCTGCAGCAAGGTGTGTGTGTGCTTGTTCCCCTGGATTTCTAAATCCATTTATTATTTTAATGTGCACAAGCAGATGGTTCCAATGATAAAATCAGAAAAACATAGCCATGTCATTATGGGACATCTACTCTCATTTTCAATGTGTTTAGACCTCAGAGGGCAGAGTGACATGCTATCAGAAATGGAAGCAAGTCACTACTTTCTCTTCTCCCTTTTATTAATGTTTAGCTTAATTAAGTTCAGGTCTTGACATAATTGCATGGGGAATTTCCATAGTTGGCCAATAATGCCCATCTATACCATCTATCTAAAATAATCCACATTCTTGTATTCCCAGTCACCCAGTGTGAAAGCTGAACAGTAAAGAAGGCTGACAAGGAAAAAGTGACTTATTTGAAATTGTATTCCCAGTCACGATCTATGGGTGTGAAAGCTGAACAGTAAAGAAGGCTGACAAGGAAAAAATGACTTATTTGAAATACAGTGCTGAAGAAGAGTTTTGTGGTTATCCTGGACCACCAGAAAGATGAACAAGTGGACCCTAGAGTGAAATGTCTGAACTATCTTTGGAGGCAAAAGAACAAAACTGAGGCTGTCCAACTTTGGGCACATCATGAGAAGGCAAGATTCTCTGAAAAAGGCAATAATGCTGGAAAAGGTTGAAGGCAGCAGGAAAAGAGGTGGACCAAATACGAGGTGGATTGACTCCACCAAGAAAGTCACAGCCTGGAGTTTACAAGAGCTGAGCACGCTGTGGAGGACAGAACATTTTGGAGACTGTGGTGGATTGACTCCACCAAGAAGGCCACAGCCTGGAGTTTACAAGAGCTGAGCAGGCTGTGGAGGACAGAACATTTTGGAGACTGTGCATTCATATAAATATGGAATAGGATATTCCAAAATATAGAAATTCAACTTGGTTGTGAAGGAGATATGAATGAGAGTGTGCTGTCTGTAGTGATTGAAGCCGTGATGGAGGAAATGGAGATCAGTGGCGCGAGTAAGAATGGGGAAGAAATGATGACAGAGGTGGGAAAACAAGCAACGGTGGCTGAGGAGAAAAAGGGGAAGGTAGAAATTTGCTTGGTGGAAGACAGCGCAAAAGTAAAGGGGTGGAGCAAAAAATGTCAATGTGGAAGGAAAGTATAAATAATCAGGGTGAACGTTGGTTTGGGGCAGAATTAGAGAATTGGATGAAAAGGAAGGAAGAAGAGAGACGCAGAGAGCTAGGGTATAAGAAAAGCTTAAAGACTTTCCCAATCTTAAGGTGGGTGGGTTACTGCCAGACTCTCCACCTAAGGCAGAAGGTGGGACGACATTTGAGTCACAAGAGTGGACTGTCATGGTGTTTCCGAGGGGACAAGGGTGTCAGAAGCAAGTGATCAGACCTGACGAGAGATGCAACACCCCTCCAAAGGAAGGGGACTGCGCCCGGCATCCATGCTGCAACACCATCTGCGCAGTGCGGAGTGCGCCTCTCTGGAGACCTACGGACCAGGAGCGGTTTGGCCGAGCACCCCAGTGAACACGTTGGAGTTGGGGAGGGAATTCTTATCCCCCAGTTATGGCCTGTTGCCAGAATTGACATATTTCGACCCAATCATGAATACTGTTGAAGAGTTTGGAACTAATAAAAAACAAGATATCAGCACTGTTAAAATGTCTCCGATTTTATTTTACGTGCCAAAAGAGGAGTTACTTGAAGCAGAAAAAGAACCCAATCACATTTGTATTAAATCTAATGCATTAATATAAAGATGGATTTGCAAATGTGTTACCATTAATTGTTTTAATGAAAACCTTTAAAAACATCAATGTAATGTGTTAATAAGTAATTATGTGTTAGTGACATGTTGCTTTTAAATTTAAACAAACCAGTTACAATTATGAAAAGTGGCCCCAAATAGTCAAGCCCATCTCTCAAATATCCCCAAAGTAAGAAACTGAAATAATGTGAATTAGTCCATGAATGGTTTCACAAAGGACTTAGGAGAAAAAAAGTGATTTTGAATGAACTATTTCCAAGCTTGGCCCAAGCGTAGGGAACATGTACAGCAAGAAGAGTTGCTGAAGCAAGACTCCTCACCTCCAGCCAAGAGTAAGACAAAGAGCTGCTTCCCACCCACCCACCCACCCACTGAAGTGTCTGTAATTTGTGTAAAATGTCATAGCCTTTCTGCCTCTTTTGAGAAGCAACGCAGAGGCACTTCCATACAGCAAGAAGCAGTAGGACTGACGGATAGTTAAGAAAGCAGCTAGAAGTCCATCACCTGTTTCAAGTTCTTAACCGAAGCAGCAGTCATCCTAATTTAGATCAGTTAACACAAGTCATGCATTTTTGCCATTTGTGCAATCTTGTGTAGAAACAGGCAATCACCAGGGTTCTACTGGTGTTTGTACAAGACTCCTTTGAACATGACGCAGCTAAGTGCAGCTGACTGATGGGGTGCCTGGGCATATCTTTGACTCCACAAGCAAGGATGAGAACAGGCAGATGACTGAGACATACCCAGACACCTCATAAATTAGCCGCAGTTGCAAACCTTACAGGAGCAC